GCCAATCCATCTCAGTTCCTAAGGGCATTGCAGCCCACTCAACAAGGAGTGCGGCAACATCAGCAGCATGGGCCACACGGGCTTCCATGGACGAAATTTGCAGAGCGGCAACTTGGGCTTCACCATCTCCCTTTGTCAGAAATTATAAAATTGATGTCTATGCCTCAGCGGACGCTTCATTTGGCAGAAGAGTCCTGCAGAGGGTCCACAGAGTTTAGGAGTGGATTTCGATCCAGACGGAGTCCCTCCCTAAGGACAGGCCAAGCTTTGGTATGTCCCACTTCTGGATGCTCTGAACAGCTCATGGGAGAAAGGGCATTGGTACTTACCTGATACGCCCGTTCTCTGTGAGCTGTGAAGAGCATCCAGCCCCACCCATTTCTTTTCCGTCTGGTGGGGTTCCGTTCCAGTCAGGGATCTAGATTAGTTGATGAGTCCCGGACTTTGGCACTCAGTCTTCACAAAACTGGGGGACGCTGAGGAGGTGTCCCGTGGAGGAGGAGGAGCATCCCGGAGTTTTAAGCCCAGCCTTTCCAGAAGAGACTGAAGCACCTCCCACTTCTGGATGCTTTGAACAGCTCACAGAGAACGGGCGTATCAGGTAAGTACCAACGCCCTTTTCCAATCGAAGGAGAGTAAGGCTGCCCCAGTTTTTATCTTTCCTTGCAAAATGCCATCTGGAAAATCCGTTTGTAGAACTTCCTGGCAAGCTTTAAAGAGGACAAATACCTGGGTATTTATAAATCTGTATAAATAAAAGAGTATTTACTCCTCCAAAGAACCCGGATCAATAGTCCAGCTTTGTAATAATTAAAAATGTGTATTTCTGCGATCGCCTGTCAATTTCTCCATTTAGCCTGAGAAGCCTTTGCAGAAGTCAGTAAATTGCCTTTCGTTGCGAGAGGCAGTGGGTGTTGGTTTTAGTTATTGCTGGTCTCTCCCATCAGCTGGAGCATTTTTCTAATTTATCGGTGGGGCATGGTTGACAGGAATGGCTTTAGAACAGATCCGTTCTGGGGCTTGTGATGAAGATAAGGATTGGTATGATTGTCTTTAACAGTGGTGTGACCCAGGGGTGTCCAACCTTGGCCACTTTAAGACTTGTGGACCTCAACTCCCAGAATCCCCCAGGAAATCCCGGGAGTTGAAGTCCACAAGTCTTAAAGGAGCCAAGGTTGGACACCCCTGCTCTTAATACATAACCAGTTTTGCTTCATTCAGTAAACTTTCTTTTTTCACAACTATTGCTACTTTTTGGTCAGCATACATCTGAAAATTTATGTATTTCGTTTCCTCATCTTTGGTGAACATCCTACAATGATATATTCATCTGCTGGCTTTAGTTTTTCATCATTGCAAAAGTTTACTTTTTGATACCATAATTTTCAGATCCATTGGCTTTCTTTCATCATGAAGTCTTGTCTTGCTTTAAAATTATTCAGGTTGTCATCCAACAAACAGCATTGTCGGTATCCAAGCACACGCAACATTTTCCTAGATCACACGTGTTTAATGTCATATATAATGTTTCTTATATATTTATCCATCCATGCATAAGATTTGTGTATGTATACAGGTCGTCCTCGCCTTACAACCACAATTGAACCCAAACTTCCTGCTGCTAAGCAAGACATTTGTTAAGTGAGTTTTGACCCACTTTACAACCTGTCTTGCCCCAGTTGTTAAGTGAATCACTGCACTTGTTAAGTGAGTAACACGTTTGTTAAGTGAATCTGGCTTCCCCATTGACTCTGCTTGTCAGAAGGTCGTAAAAGGGGATCACATGACCCCGAGGAGACATTGCAGCCGTCATAAATATCACTCAGTTGCCAAGTATTTGAATTTTGATCAGGTGACCATGAGGATGCTACGAAGGTCATAACTGTGAAAAATGGTCATAAGTCCCTTTTTTTCAATGCCATTGTAACTTTGAATGGTCACTAAGTGAATAGTTGTAAATCGAGGACTCCCTTGCATATAGATAAATTGAACAAGCATTAGCTCAAAGGTATTTCCATTTTTGCAAGGGAATTTTGAAAAGCCTCCCTCCTTTCTTCCTTTCTTTCTTTCTTTCTTTCTTTCTTCCTTCCTTCCTTCCTTCCTTCCTTCCTTCCTTCCTTCCTTCCTT